CCCAGCCTAGTTGTCTACACACTACTGCTGCATCAGGGGAGCCCCAGTAATCATCACAGACAGTGCCCCATGATCCACTATCACACACTTCCACTCTTCCTTCCCAATCGTGTGAACCACCAACAAGACGGATTGATCCAGTAGTACAATCTGTAAATTAACAGTAATTTTGAATCAATTTTAACTAAATATCGTTACATAAATGTACGATAAACAAATCAATATTGGCTACTACTTTGGCTTACATGCAGTGAAAGCCCTTACTACTGACATCTAAATATCATCATAAATAACATCAGGTGTGTCGTGACATGTGAGATGTATTTATTACTAGATAATAGAGTATAAAGGGATTGGTAACTGCGTAGACGGTAGTTATCACCGTATAGATTCTGATTTTCCGCATTCAATAATTACAATGCAAAAGTCAAAGGAGAAGAGCCAAATTTTGCCAGAGAATGACAGGTTTATAGGATTTCAAAAGAACATATTAATACCATTACTAGCCAGTTCACTAAAGCAATATGCTACCTGTTGCATGTGTTTCTTTCCTAGCTTAAATGTTTACTGTTTCGGAGAAAAAGGTACAGAAACTTTGTCACTTTTACAACACAAAATTTGAGTTTCTGGAGAAGATGTATGAACTACAAGTCTGAGAATACCCTAGTTACACGCAACTCAAAGCACTTGATCGTTCTATGTTTGCTACTTTGTTGTAAAACAAGAGACATTTTAGTAAAAGGTACAGAACATCAGAAAAGAGGTCTCGCTTGACACCCGCTGTTAGTAATGAATGAAACAGTTTGTTACTTTTGAGTAACTGTATGAAATTTGGATTGTTAATTATAGAAGTTATAAGGTATTTTATGCATATTTTTGTTGATTTTTTGCAACTACTGAGACTAAGTTATGAACAGAGAAAAGTAGACCTCTCCCATTGCTAAGGAGAAACTAGGATGCGGGAAGTGATAACTTCGCTCTCCATTGGTTTATACAGGCCGCCCACGCAGTTTCCAATCCCTTTATACACTAATATCTATGCTACTGATTACAAGCTGAAAACTTTCAATTTAAAAAAATGAATTGATAATGAATATAATCAATGCTATTAACATTGATTAAGGTAAATTGATGTATGTACACATGTCCATTTACACAAATGTATGATTTTTATTTAGTGTGGCTTTATGGAGTTCACAGATATTCTTATCAACATAAAATGATAAAATTAGAAATAATAATAATAATAACTCAGTACATTGTACATAAGAAACTGTTGAAGCACTACAATTTAATAAAATCCCCCAAAAATACATGCTTAGTTGTACGCATGATTTGCTACAAAGCATGCTTCATGAGCTGACCAGTATTACAATAGTATATACATGGATTTTGAAGCAAATTAAAAATTTTATATAAAATCCAATTTTGATCGGAATTAGCTCAAACTTGCAGCATACACTGTAGTATAGTATGTATCAGGAAAAAGTTTAAACATTAAGAATTCTTCATCGTCATTTCTAGCAAAATATGGCCAAAGATCCTGTACTTCGGAAATTTGGCCAAATTGTTAAAGTAATGTAACTTCAAAAATTCATTAAACATCAAATCTATCAAAAAATATTTTCAATAAAAAAATTCTCTAATAGTTATCACTGGAAAATTTACCATAGATAATAGATTGAAGTTGGCCCAATTTTTAAATAACTTTTAAAATTCATTTTTAAAATCTAAATTACATGTGGATCAAAATTAGCTCAAACTTGCTAAACACCATAAGAACATCTATGCATCCAAAAAATTATAAAAATTAAACACTTATTCATAGTTATTAAATTTAGCCAAATTAAGATCCAGTGTTATACGTAGGCCCAATTCTTGATATATTTCAAAAGTTCATGAATAATCCATTTTTAAATCTAAATCTGCTCATACTTGCTACACAACATAAAAACATGTACACGTAAATGTATTAGAAATTAGAAAAAAATATAAATATGACATATCCTAACATACTTTTTTGAAAAATGCACTACATAGCATAATGATATTTTGTCAAATTTTTGAGCAACTTAATTCACTGACAAGCACCTGCATGTCAGTCCTGTTTGTACATTATAAC